CTGATTTGGGAAGGACAATCATGAATAGCGAAAGCTGAGGCTCTTCCAATTAAAGATTGGTTGTAAATCACACTGAAAGTCAAAATAATCTTTGGAAGCCCCAGTTTCACTACAATGTAAATATGTGAACTTGGGAAAGTTACAAAGTTCTTACCTATAAAATGGAGATAATTAGTAATACTACATACCTCAGGGTTCTATGAGAATTAAATGTATTGCAAAGCATCTAAGCAATGCTCCTTTGATGAATGTTCATTCTTATGAACAGGTAACCAGCAAAATATATTTTATTGTGTGTTGCTATAGGATAATATGTGTTCAAACTAGGTGGAAATGTTTGTTAAATGAGATAGTTTTCTTTGAAAATACTTTAATAGCCTTTGACAGCCTCAATTGAATTAAGGAACTTGAACACGATAAGAATGGTACGAGGTTTCCCTTACTTGTAATAATTAGTATACATCTAGGGTAATCTTAGAAGATGAGCAGAATAGCTCAATAGCTAGGTACATATGACCACATAAGATGATGCTAAGCCAAATGAACTCCAAGACATGATAAAAGAGGTTTTTCTTTGTTGTTGTTCCCAATGTACTACATGATTTCTTTTTTCTTTTGTGTTTTCCCCCTATGGTTTATCCCCTGTTGTCTCTATATTCAATTTTGGTACCCTGGGTATTATATACATTTATTTAAACTAGGGAAGGGGAGGGGAACAACAAAATGGTGAGACAAAGGACAAAGGGGGAACCTATGCAACAGCAATACTCAAAAGACAATATGCTGGAAATGATCTGTACAACTTGGCCGGGGGTTGATGGGAGAGGGAAGAGGGAACAAGTTAGACAAGAAATGTAATTACTACCTTCTGTAACTGTAACCCTCTGTACATTACCTTGACAATAAAATTTATTAAAAAAGGTACCAGCAAGAAGGGGAAATTTCTGAGATGGAGGGACCTTCAGGAGCTGATGACAAGCAGCCCTGTAGTTTTGGGGAAGAGAGCAGGGAAACATGACCAGCGAAGTGACTGAATTTCTTTGTGATACTGAATCAAACACTTAGGATGATCTCTGGCACATAGTACATGCACAGTAAATGCTATATATTGTTTTCACTGGTATTGTCATCCTTTGTAAAATCAGGATTAGGTCTATTCTGGATTTCTCATTGGTTAGAGGGGAAGTACTGTCAAGTTACTTGTCCACATAATAGACATGTTAGTTTCCTTGCTGTCAGTTAATACCAACATAGGCTTCTTTAACTCTGATCAGCAGATCCTCAGTCTCCAAGCACAAAACTGGGAAAGCAAAATGAATTTTTTAAAAATGGAGAAAGCAACTGATGAAATGGTGTCTTTTAGTCATTCTGCAAGGGTAAATCCTAGCCAGGCCTGGCAAAGGGCATCTGTAGTCCCAGCTGCTTGGAATGCCACACTTAGCACGACTGGCTTAGAGAAATGTAGTTGTTCCTATATAACGGGCAACAGGAAAGTAAACGTACTGAAGTTTCCTTTTCCTGCCAATCATTGCTATCATTTCTTTTCCTTTCCTTAATTTTCTATATAGCACTGGTCTTATATATCATATAACCACTCTTGAAATGTATCTGCTCTGGCTTATCTCTTTCAAGTGCAAACTACTTCATGATAAACTCATTCGTTTAAAAAAATGTTGCATTCTAGATGCATCACCAAAATATTGGACCATAGGTTCAGCTCTAGTGAAGACATTACAAAGGAAGAGGTCTAGGAGAAAGAAATGTTTCCGTACCTCATTTTCACTGTGTGTGAATAGATTCTCATATCCTTTCCTTTTATCTTGTCGGTGGATGTTGTCTCTGTTTACATAGCTGATTATCTTCCTTCAAATGGATGGATGTTAAAGAATATAGCACCTCACTGTCAGAATAATTTAATAAATGTATTCATTTGCCATATAAACATAACCATTATTACTTTGTCTTCTTGGACTTAATATGATAGTGTTCTACTGCAAAAGCTTATTTCGGTTTGGAAAGTTAGCATGGATTCTGTGTAAAAATACCATTTTTCTAGCACAAGTGGAAAAGACTTTTAAGATGCATTTCTGTCTTAGAAAAATATCTTCCATTTTGTGATAGCACTTCCTACTGGACTAATTTTTCCCTTTAATGTTCCACCACAAATTGTGTAACTGTTCTAATAAAATTAAACATTTTATACTCTATAAAGATGATTGTGTTTCAATTTGTTTTAAGCCCTTTTCCTGGTTACATATTTTAGGATAGAGACTATTTTATAGGAATTGACAACTTACTGTACACAAATACACACACATTTACTAATCATGGGTTTAAATTACTCTTTATTGGTTCAGTCACTGAGTATGTTTCAAAGCTGAGGAGAAAAATCAATGATTCAGAAAACATCTTGGGACATCTTGGGAATTTCCTCTGAAAATAATATCCTGTTTTTCAAGAATTCGTTTCCAAGTGCTTTCAGAGAAAGATAAACTTTAATGTGGAAACAGTTTTTGCCAGGTTTTATTTATTTAAATATGTTAAAGTTTTATATTGGAAGGTGATCACTTCCAAGTTTTTGGTCAGGAAAATGGCTATACTGATCTGCTGTATGAGTGGTGCTCTGCATATGAAAAATATTGGTCATTAAAATAGAGATTTGGGTTATTCAAAGCATTTGCAATCTGACCTCCAAATGGCAATTTTATTGCCAGCAATTGACCTGGATATGAGCCTCTAATGCTAGACCATCAACACCTTTTATTTTTTCTTTTCCTTTATGCAGTAAATGGCCTTATTAGGCTGTGAGATGATACGATATCAATTACACATGCTCATGTTTTGCTCTTAGATACATTACCTCTACTGCACTTGCTGCTTAGGTTGAATTCTATACTTAGCCTTTTAAAATGCCTCCCACAAATAGTATTTAACTCACCTAATTTCAAAAGAATGGAAGTCTTAAGGAAAGGTCTCAGCTTTTTAGAATTAGTTTGAGATGCATTCCCATTTTTTTCTCAGATACTTTGCTTATAGTTTCCTGCACTTGGTAATGATACTAAGCCATAAAAAATAACTTTAAAATTTGCCATGCATCATTTAAATTCACTTATGCTTCTTCATTGTAGTTATTTAAATAAACTTGCCTATATATTGAAGAGCTTGCTGCTCTTCTTTTGTTCACATATAAGTATGTACATATGTGTGCATGTATGTATGTTGCCTCACGGTTAACTTTCACTTAGATGCTTTAAATAAGAACAAACTAAGAAACTTTTTGTCAAGGGATTATGACATTGCTATTCTGTTTTATTTTCAAATTAGGAAAATAGGATCTTCTGTCTATTGATGTATTAAGACATTAGAAAATATTTTCAGAATTGTATGAAATGGATAGGAGTTAAAATTATTGAGATGGTAGTATTATAAGGCAAACACATTACCTTCACCCAAAAGTTTTGTTGCTGAGAACCACTAAGAGATAACTGTTGGAATTATAGCTGCAGGGCCTCATCAGATTGAATGAACCTGACTCCCATACATGGAGTACAGAGGGCTTAGAGAAAGCTAGAAAAATAAACACTAACTGAGAAACTGTGTTTTGAAAAATCTTATATACTTCTACACACATATATGTATCCTTTTTTATGATCCTTATGATCTCTTCTATGGAAATTGTTAACATGAGTTTATCAATCGAAAGCTTGTTTCACTTTGTTCAGCATCATCTGGTCTTGGTCCTAATATTCTGTTCAGTAGGACAGAAAAGAAAAATTGGTACAGCATCTACGCCTTCTCTAGCCATCCTCCTCCCCTTTTCCCGCAGTGTCAGTGAATTCTGGTCCATGATGCAGTCACCATAAGCATGCTTGACGTTCCTCAGAAAAACCACTTTCACGGCCAGGTGTTTATTTCCTGCCAGATAGTGAATGATTTCCTCTTTTCCATCTTGTAGTTCCATTCAGATATCCCCGCCTCACAGAGTATTTCTTTTAATTTCCACTTTCCTTCTCACTCTGTCTCCTTATCCCGTTTCATCGCACTTCTCATTGTCTGACTCTTTTAATGTGTTATGTGTCTGTTTCCCACATTAGAATTGTAATCCATACAAGTCAAGGAGGTTTGTTCATCATTAGGTCCACAGCATCCAGCACATAATACAGTAAGCATGGGTCAAATGACGTTATGATGATGTCATCGTTAAATTCTTCCCATCAAATCAGATGGTAATACCAAACAACAGAACATAAAGTGTTGGTGATCTTCTATGTCTAAAGGTATATTTAGACCTTCAATAGAGAAGTAATAACAGAAATTTACATTTTTATGTTCTAGGTCTCTGGGCTTCTAATACTTTAAAGGATATGTGCCAAGCATGTGTAGTCCTATAATCCCAGCACTTGGGAGGCAGAGGGGGGAGGATTGTGAGTTTGAGGCCAATCCTGAGCCAGAACAGCCTAGGCTACACAGCAAGATTCCATCCCAATAAAAGGAGTATTGGACATCGTTGATGAATAAATTGTGCTAAACAACTGCCTCATAAATCTATTGTATTCAAAGTTTTTTCTTAGTATCGCATGTTTTATTTTCCTTCTAGCATTTCAGAGAACTTATTAATTGGAAAGAAATTATAAGGGTGACTTTTCCCTGAAGTGTTTGAATGCTATGGTTTCTCATTCATTTTACTTCATTGTGTAAACCTATATTGATTGAATATTAGATATATTTCCAGAGTATGTGTCCTCAAGGTATTATGGGCTGACTTTAGAATCAATAGCATTATTTGATATTTAGCTGTTATTTATTCAACTCTTTAATGAAAATGTTAATATATTTGTTTTATTGTATTTTTAGTTCTTTTCAAGTTAAAATGGGCAGACTAAGTGTAGTTTCTTGTATTTAGACAAACAAGTCTCAAAAACATTTCTATCACTTTGCAGAGTGCTCTCTTTCTATTTCATGCCTTTGGTTTTAAGAGTTATTTGTTTTCTCTCTACCAGAGGTTCCGGCGTCTCCTATGCTAGTTGAAGAGCCTCCCGAGAAGCCTGCTTCTGTGGACATGAGTGATTTCCTGGATTCCACAAGCAGAAACTACTTTGCTAAATTGTGGGCCAAACTTTCAACCAAAAAAACATCAGTGGTAAGAGAGGGGTAGAAGGGGTGAAGTGTCAGCAGGAACACAGATATTGGCAGGCAAAAAGAGGCTTTCATATGGGGTGCTAATAAGTGTTCCCCAAACTGTTCTTTCTCTGATATATTCTCTCTTTTGTGCTCTCTCTCTCTCTCTCTCTCTCTCTCTCACACACACACACACACATCTCCTTCTTTAAGAATAAATACTGGTCCTCGGGCTAGGAAGGTGGCTCAGTGGTAGAGCGCTTGCCTTGCATGCCTGAGGCCCTGGGTTCGATTCCTCAGCACCACATAAGCAAAAAGAAAAAAGCCGGAAGTGGCACTATGGCTCAAGTGGTAGAGCACTAGCCTTGAGCTGAAGAGCTGAGGGACAGCGCCCAGGCCCAGAGTTCAGGCCCCACAACCAGATCCAAAAAAAGAATAAATACTGGTCCTAAAACTAGAGTTTGGATGTCAGATTTTTTTGTATTCAGATTTCCTTAATTTTTCTTTTTTAATATGTTTTTTATTGTAAAAATACGGTACAGAGGGGGTACATGAGCAAGGTAATGAGTCCATTTCTTATCAAGCATTGTTACTTCCTCCTTTGTTTCTCCCCTACCATCCCTTCCCTCCCACCTCCACAACTATACTCTGCCCCCCCCCCGCCACCTAAATTGTAAAGTTCATTTTTCAACATAGTGTCTTGTACATCTCATTGTTACAATGGGTCAACCTGTATCCCTATTTAAGTATTTGGTTTTTCCCTTCCCCTCCCCAAATTAGAGAAGTGTATATACAAGTGCAGAGCACCGACATCACAGACAGTGAAAACAGGAGTTATACCGTGGGGGAGGAACATACAAAGAAACAAAAAATCCCATGGAACATTATAAATATGTTAGAAACAGTAGCAAGAAAGAAGAAAACACTTGTGTCCCTATCTTGGGGTTCATTTTGCTTAGCATCATCTAGAATGTAAGATTTTTTGAGTACCTTTTCCTTGGGCTCCCAGTCAAAACTCTGACACCAACTCTTCAACTTGGCAAATACAAAAAAAAAAAAACCACTACAATAAATCAGTGCATTAGAGTATGCATCTGAAGGAAAATGTGTTCTATAGCGGGGATGTAATTTTGAGTATTTGGGGGCTGAGCCTTCGAAGTGTGTCCATTGAAGGAGTCCATACTTGATAACACAGCTTGGTTTAAGTCAGTCATGTGACTTGGTCCCAATTCATTTCTTTGGAAACTTCAAGCAATGAGCATGTGTGGTGTTGAATGCAAAGAGGGCTTTGCATTTAGATTAGGTGATGCTTACTTGCAATCATTTTTACATAATGATGTAGGAATACAAAGCTACTTAAATAATTACAATTGCAGAATTGATAGGTTTTTTTTCAGTTATTAACTCTATTGTTCTATTTCCTTAAAACTTGCCTGTTCTGAGTGAGAATCACAGTCAGTAGTCAAAAGTTTCAGGCTGGTTCCTTTTGAGAAAGACATCACGATATGGCACAAGCTGATGTGTCTGTGCATTTGACTCTAAGTCTTAATAGTTGTTGGGTGTGCTAGGTGCAAGAAACAAATGTGTCTGCTTCTGGTTTCCTGTGTGTTCTGTGGTATTAGCTCTGTGTTGGAGAGTTTCTTCTATTGGCTCTCTTTCTCCCCTCCCATTACCTCAAGCCCCACTCTCTGTGGCTCTTATGTTATTGTTCTCCAGAACTTCCCTATGCCTCTTGGATTCATACTGCTGTGGGCAAGAGAATCTCAGCAGCCCATTGCGGCTCTCCCAGCCATGCCACCTGGCCCTGCTCATGCCATTCCCTGCCACAGGGAAAAGGCTGGGCTGGCTGGTACTGACTATGGTTCCTAGAAACAGCACTGGGTGCTCTCCAGGCATCTGTCAATACCACCATCTGGAGTGCAGGAACGTCAGACTTATTTATACAAAAGAGATTAAATGTAAAAGAAAATATTCCCATCTACCAGGATTCGTAGAGGATCAACTATCAGTCATTAGAAATGGGGATCACTCTCCATATTTGGATTAAGTTTCAAAATTCTAAGTTTTACCAACATCCTGGGAAATTATATTAGAGCCTGGGATCTCTAAACTACCACAGTTACTCCGAGATGTCCCCCTTGCAAGATCCTGGTAGATGAATTCAGGAGACATAGGAAAGTATATACGTGGTAAAGGCTGGAAAGGGATCTTATGGAAGGAGTAGCAGCCATCCTCTCTGTGATGGTTTACTAGTGGATGAATTCAATATGTCCTTGCTAATTTAGCAAACACACAAAGGGCCTTTGCCGTCACAGCCGCCCTCTTTATATTCTCAAGGCTTTTTCTCCCTCCATCCCCACCCCTCTCTTTTTCTCTCCTTCTCCCTCTTCCCTTCTTTGCTTCCTTTCCTCCTTACTCTCATGTTTTCATGTGCTCACTCACGCTTGCCCTCCCATTCCTGCTATGTTCATGGGCATGGACTGGCCTTCGAGTCTCCTCCAGATACGAGAACAAAACCCACCTGATCCTTGCACTTCTGGAACGAATTCTCTGGTAGTAGTCTATAACCTTTGTGGATGACATCAGCACATCTCTAGCGCTTCTATTCCTTGCCTTCTTCCTTTGTTGTAATTAGGTTACTAGACCCTGAAGATCCTCGGTATTACCAACTCCAAAGGTCCTGACACCTGGGTGTTTTTTTCCCCTTATCGTTGGGGACATTAGGGTTTATTCTACAACCTGAATGACTTGCCTTGTGTGGGAAAAAAAAAAGGTCCAGAATGCCAAATCTGGGGGGAAAATCTGACATCAGGCTTGTTGGTGGTAACTGCCATCATTATATCAGTCTAAATGCTTTCTGTGAATGCGACCATAGGTGGATATGAATTTAGAAAATGTAATAAATGAAGTGTTCCATTTCCTCATTCCCTGATTCTTTAGTTACGTGGCCTTTAGTGGTCTCATTTCATTCCTCTTCCTACCTCATCTGAATGGCTCCCTGGACACATCGATTTAGTCATCTCTAAAAGGTTTTGGGGGAACTGTAAACATAATTTCAATGAGCTGTTTGCCAGTTTTCTTTTTAGATCAAGTGAAAGAGGACCATAGCTCTTTTCTTAACTGTTGGACAAACACTGTCCAGCCAGAGATTTTTATTTATGAAACACAAAATGCCAACTATTGGTTCCAGAAGTCCCAGTCTGAGTATGATATTGTCCGCTGTGACTTGAGTTCCTGCCTCTGTGGGAACACGACCCTCTTTGCTTGGTTAACTTCCTGGAAAGCACACTGAATCCTATGCTGACGTAGTGAAGACCTTTCACTCCAGAATTGCTGATATGGCTGAGTCTTAGCCTTTAAAAGTTGGTTTTCTGCACATCAGTTGTATCTATTTTTTCAACCTGCTCTTCCCAATTCCAAGAGAATATCCTTACTCCTACAGTTTGCCAAATCTCTGAAGGGTGTGTGTGTGTGTGTGTGTGTGTGTGTGTGTGTGTGTGTGTGTGAGTGTGTTTGAACTGGTCCAAGGCTTGAACTCAGGGCCTGCTTGGTGTCTCTGAACTTTTTGTGCCCAAAGCTAGTGCTCTACCACTGGAACTATAGTTCCACTTCTGGCTTTTTGGCGGTTAATTGGAGATTTGAGTCTCACAGACCTTCCTGCCTGGGCTGGCTTCAAATTGTGATCCTCAGATCTCAGCCTTCTGAGCAGCTAGGATTACAGGTGTGAGCCACTAGCACTTAACTTCAGATGATCTTTTCCTTCTTTGATGATTAGTAGTACTAATTTACAGACAAGAGTTTTGTAACAGTAAAGCCTATATTTATTATTGTGTTTATTTAGCGAGGTGGTCACTGCTTGTGCTAAGATTTAAGAATTTGTAGCCCCAAAAAGTTTTCCATCTCATTAGAAAGACTAAAAATGCACTCATGAAATGTGAAGTCCATCACATTCTTATTTAGGTATCAAATAAAATTGATACATTAAATTACAGTTGTATAAAATATTTTGGTTTTATTTATAATTCTCTCAGAGAATGAATAGCTATTTCAATGATTTGACATACTTTCAACATGAATATAATTTTCTTGTGTCTTGCCTAGGAAAGATACTCTCTGCACAGACAGCATGAGGCAGCCCGGCAAGCCCTTATGGGAAATATACCTCGTGATCAGACTCTCCTGTTTCAAAGGTAGCAATGTATGACATTTGTTGGTACTTGCACAACTTTAGATTAATTTTCTGTGGCCAAATCTACCTAACACGTCTGAAATTATCAACAGCAACTGAAATCTCCACTCTAAAGTAGACTCAGTCGTTTAGTAGCAAACCTATTTCTTAGCTGTGTGTTTTCTTGTCATTTTCATATTGCTTAACTGGCACAGTAAGCTTACAGCTACTAGAAACTTGATTTTTTTTTTTGCAGTCCACAAAGAGTAATATTTCTAGTGGTGTTTGGATATAAAGATCAGCCTTCACAAAGGCTGCTCATGACTGAAAGTCAATTATCCCCCATTGAGTTCCTGTACTTGCCTGTCATGACTCTCCAAACAATAGTAATTATTTGGGAGGTCATTTTTTTTCGTGCCTACTTTCCATATTAGACTGTAAATTCCAGGAAGGTGGAGAGCTTTGTTAACCCATGGATTCTTGGTTCTTGCTGTAGATTGCCTACCATGAAGCCAGGACTTCATAGGTACTAGTAGCTATTAATAGTTACTGCACAATTAATTGTTATATAAGAAGAGGATTTAGGCCAGGTATGGTTAGGCACTGCTTTCATATTATTGTCTTATTAATATTATGTGTATCACAGCTCTGAATTCTTCTTTTGTGATGTTTTAGAATATTTAAATGTTAAATGGAAAAGTCCCTGTTTTCAGAAATTTGCCAAGAGCACTGATATCTCTTCCTACCTTCATTCTTCTTCATGCTGTTATTCTTCCTTCTTTCCTTTCCTTTTCTCCCCTCCCTCCCTCTCTTCTTTCCTTCCTTCCTTCCATCCTTCCATCCATGTATAATTGATATCACTATGAAATCCTTTGAGCTAAAAAAATTTCTGATTTCAGGGGTCCAGTATCAGCACCTATAATCAGTAATCAACAGTATTTTTCAAGTTTAGAAGAGCTACGAAAAAGTTTGGAACTGTCTGAAGAATATTTTAAGCCTTCCTTTGGAGTATATCCGGAAATGAAGTGAGTTGAAGTTTGCTTGATGGACTTGGTCATTGTCTGCTGGTTAGTGAAAAATCATAGCACTCAGGGGTTGGGGATTTAGGACAGTGAAAGAGCACAAGCCTGATGCGAGGCAGGACCCTAAAAACAATCATCGTAATCATCTCTAGCCTTCAGAGAAATCCTTAAAAAATGTAAGAGTAGGGCTCCACCTCCCAGCATGGAACTTGAAAGTATTAGACCAGGCCCTTCAGAGGGCACATGGGTATATATAGTTTAGTGTCCCATGGCTGGAAACTTTGGGTCTTTATGTAGCAGAGGCAATTGGAGATACTCAGGTTTTCAATGGCAGAAGAAACAAGAATCCATCACAATCCTAGGTGTCCCTTTGTGTGCAGTACTAGTCTCTGTTTTGAATTTTGAGACAGCTGTTTAATGACTCGTGCCCGAGCTTTGTTCCTATACAGTTTGTGAGGTTGGTTCTAGTTAGTATTATAGTCCAGTGGTCTTTCAATAACCCCTTGATTCATAGTTAATATCAAAAATGTAATTTCTGAGTCCTAACATTTTAATGTCAAAACATAGTTCAAAATCTATATATTGTAGACATTAAAATGTTAATGGAGAGTTTTTGGAGACACAAGAAAAATTACAGAAGGAAAGAGGAATGAATGTATTTTTATTATGCTTCAGCAATGTGAGTTTCTCTAAGTATAAAGAAAATTTTAGATCTGGGATGTAGCTCAGTGGCAAAGCACCTGCCTAGCAAGTGCAATGTCCTGGGTTCATTCCCCAGTACAAAAAAAAATAGAAAATAAAAAAGAAAGAAAATTTAAATGAGAAAACAACAAGGTATATAAGGTACAACAATGCTTGATAAGAAATATACTCATGACCTTACTCATGTAACTGTAATCCCTCTGTACAGCATTTTCACAATACAAAAACTTATTTAAAAATAATAAAGGATGACAGATGGCAACCATTCAGTGTATAAAGAGTTCACATAAATTGGTTTGGAAAATACTAAGTTCAGTCTTCAACAGATGAAGGAACAAAAGATATAAACAGTTCAAAAGAGAAGTGAGACAGGAGCTAATTGATATGAATATTAACATAATAAAAACAGTGTCTAATTTTACTTGCCATGAGAAATAAATTTCAAACATTATACCACTTTTTGCAGGCTAAATTACCAAATCTTTTTATTATTGTGTATTTATCTACCTATTTATGATGTTGGAAAACTTTTACAAATTAATGACTTTTAAAATGATACAAAGAGAAAGGCTGTGCTAGCAGGCCCAGGTTTTACTGGGGATGGGGGAGAATTTCATAATCTTTTGAAAACTTATGTCCAATGCCTAAAATGCGTATTTACTATCAACCCAGTTGTCCCAGTTCTGACACATGATTATTGTCTTGGTCCATGCAAGCTGCTGTAACCAAATGCCATAGACCCAGTGGTACATAACAGTGTAGATTTATTTCTTATAATTCTGGATGCTATCAAGATGTATCTTCTAAGAGGCTGCTTGTCGCATAGATGGCACCTTCTTTTCTTGCTGGGTCCTTACAGCATGTGGTGTGTGGAGCTCGAGGAAGTTCTCCAGGTCATTAGGGCACCAATCTGATTGGTGACGGCACCGTCCCGACCACCTTTGCTCCTCTCTGACAACTCACCGCTTCACCCATCACCTTGGGGGCTGTGATTTTAACACATGAGTTGGGGAAAGAGTAATACATTCAGATAGTCAACAATACTAATAAAATAATGCACGTTGTGGGAAATCATTATATGTAAAGATATTCATGAGGGCAGAAAACCCTGCAAAGAACCCGAATGTTCAGAATCAAAAGGATGGCTGAATGAAATACGGAGCAAATAATTAATGGACTGTTATATGCTACTGATATCAGGTTTCAGAGAATAGTTATAAAATTGATTCCCCCCAAATGTGCACAGTTGCATAAAACAAAAAAGTTAAACTACATAGAAAAATAAGATCCAAAGCATAATAATGATCTTTTTCAGTGCATGACTTTTCTTTCTTCCTTCTTGTTTTCAAATTGTCTACACTGGAGGTGTATTACTTTTAGAAGAAACAATGAATATGCTTTATTTTATAGAAATAAAAAAAATAGGTAACGTTAAAACAGCCCCAAGCTATTGAACTAAAAAATAGTGTGAATGTGTATGGGTTATAAGAAGCAAAATTACAAGCAAGGACAGTAGATCTTGTGTCACACTTGTTCCTGCCCTGGAAGTGTGACATACGTTATCTCTACGTAGAGATCCATGCGAAACAAGAGGCTGTTGTCCCTGTTTGACAGATGGGACAACTGAGACACCAGTTAGTGATGCTGGGGGACTTAGCCAAGGGCGTGTGGCTAAGAAATCTAGGGCAGAGGTTTGAATCCAGGCCAAGAGTCTTCAGAGCTTCTGTGGCTCTGCTGTCTGCAAGGCTTAAAACCTAGCAGAGGAGGTAACCACACAAGCCCCACTAAGCTTTTTTAAATGTGGGGGTACCATGTTCACATTTCAGCTCTAGATCTGGAGGATTTCTCAGCATTGATATTTGGCCTTTTGGACATTGCTGTTAGCTGGAAATCTTCCTCTTTATGTATGTGTATGGTATGGGGCAGGGCGGGAGGTGGTGTCTTTATTTTTTTTGCCTGGCATCAGCATGATCTTTCTCCAGGGTCTTCCTAGCAATTAAGGGCACCCTAATTAACAAGATATTTGGTGAAGTTCAGCCACTATCCAGTCCTGATGTTGTCTAAAACATGATTGGGACAGGACTCCTGTGGGCCAGCTCAGGAGACATGCACTTAACTTTGGTGCAGCACCCTTTCCCCAGGCCAGAAGCCTCATCCTTTCCCCATCCTGACCTTTCATTAGTCAAACTACCCAATTCCCAACCCCCTCCCCTCTCCTCAAAGTACCTCCTCCTGCCTTCTTCCTGTTAGTCTCCTAGCTAACTTCTTTCTATCATTCCTGAAATTGACCTTGTCCAATAAATAACCCAGAAATATTAAGCTGCAGAAGGAAAACCTGGCCCCAGCCAGGATCCTCAGACACAGTGCTCAGGAACATTCTTTCTACCTTCCAAGTCCAGCCTCTATCCCCACCTCCCCTCTTTTGCTGGTGATCTGTCCTTCAGGAGCTCTGCCTGGCATTGCTGATGTGTGATCCATAATCACCTGAGCTGACCTTCCTCTCACTGTGTTTTCACAAAGCCTGTAAGTCTGCATTGCTGTCTGACCACAGTGTTCTCAGTGCTGTGCTTGTGAATGATTCTATGAATGAGTGCCAGAAAGGGGGCAAAGCCATGAACTTTGAGGGCCCAAGAGAATGGATATGAAACTGTATGAGTAGAGTATGATTACTTTTTGTTCAGGATGAAGGTTATCCTCCTTTCTGAGGGGCATTTGGTGAGGAAACTAGGAAATAAATCTTTCCCATTTTCCCAATAATGACTAAGCATTTACCACAAGAGTTGTATTCATTTCTTGAAAGTCAATATTCTTCCTGAAAGTAATGGCTCACGTGTCTCCACAAAGTAAAGATTCAAGTACAAAGAGTGTGATCACTTTCAGATTCTTTGGCAGCAAAGTTAGTGGGAATGAGGCCCAACTTAAGGAGTGAAGAATCCAGAACCATGAGGCCAAAGTTCATCAACTTCATAGGCCTTGCAGTGGGGCTTCCTGGTAGAGACATTTCCCTCATGAAGAATGCCAGGACACTGATCAATAAGAAGAACATTAATCCATACACAGAGACGTTAGGCACCAGATTGTACCCCAATCTCATCCTGAAAAGGGGAGAAAAATCATAATCTACCCCAAAATAGCATAGGATATAACAAACATGGTATCTGGATCAGGCCACCTAATGTTTCATTTTCTCTAAATTTGAAATTGTGGAACTGCTATATGTAAATTGCACTTGGCTCTAAAGTCCTAGAGACTGGCGTTTGTGTCTTATGCATTGTGTTTCCTACTCTTCACCCACTGCAATGCCTTACCCTAAGCGGGTATTTATTTTTATTCTTTTTTTTTTGTGAACATACTGTACAGAGGGGTTACAATTACATGGGCAGGATAATGCATACATTTCTTACCAAGCATTGCAGTCTCCTCCTTTGTTTACCC